TGCCTCTCTGAGCGGTTTGTACAACGCAGCGACGTGTCGAGCAGACAGACTCGAGCCACTGAGAATATGCAGCTCGAACTGCCGAGGGTCCGCACCGAACATGCTCGCAAGTTCTTGTATTACCGCGCCTGTGACGTTTGGAACTCGCTGCCAGCAGACATTCGGTCGTCACGCACGTCGGCCACTTGTCGCAGGCGTTGTCGACGATTACTCAATGGTGACTAGTCACTGTGCGCGTAGCTTTCGGTCATTTGTACCGATATGCATTTTACTTTTTAACTCCCATGCTTTTCATGGTTTTTACTTTTAGCTTTAGTGTTTATTTTAGCTTTATATATGTGCCTACCTATTTACTGTATGACACTTGGACTGAAAAGCCGTGAGTGCATGGAGCTTCCAAACGAAATAAATGATGATGATGATGATGATGATATGACCATCAGATATGATATGACTAATCAGAGGATGGATAATCAAAGGATATATGGAGGATATGACCTCCACTGTGAGAAGGCACCGGTCGCAGGCCAAAACAGGCCTGACATGGGTAAAGCAGCCCAGATCAGACCTGTCTTGGCCTGACCTAGACTGGCTACGATCGGCCGGAAGTGATGGGATAAACAATAGTTATACAAATAAAGGTCAAAATACGTCGGAAATGACGCTTAATGACCACATATGTCATTCCAAATAGGTTTAAAGCAGTTTCCAAAAAGTTGATTTTTCCCAAAAAATGTCAACTTTGACCTCAATTCGCGACCCCTAAATATCAATATTTTTCAAAATCATTTTGCACACATTATTTTTTACGGGAATGGAACCAGAAAACTACCCGCACGCCTAAAAATCGGAAAACATAAAATTCACCCCATTGCTAAGTGCCACCCTAATACCTATCGTTATTGCTAGGATGAGCAAGTTTATGCGTTCTTATCTTTCTAATGTCCATTAAAAGTTATTTCTGAAAAACTGTTGGTGACCTCATGATGACCTACCATGACCTTCCGAGTGACCGCTGATCATCGGTTGCAACCTGAGTTGCAAATTGTAGGTATATCGAAATGCAATAATTCAGAAAAAATCTTTCGGTTTAGGCGTTTTTGTTCAAACCGCGATTATCTCGCAAGCTAAGAAAGGCATAAACACCTACGCGAAAAAAAAAAAACAATAGCTATATCGTGCCTCTTATAAGCTATTTCAGAACTATGAAGAACATTTTTCGATGAGGTCATCGCCGAGGTCACTGGAGGTCACCAAAAGTAAAATTACCACGAAAAACTTTTGCCGATTTTGCAAAATTTTTCACAAACGGCATATAGGTAGCTAGCTTGTGACCCTGAACCAAAAGAGCCCGGAGTCGCGGAAAACACATTCGATGCTCATATCAGGAAGTCTCTCCGAAGTCAGGAAGTCTTTCAAAACTCCTTCGCTAGCATCTCCTCAGATTTGACCTCAGGCCAACGGTTTGCCTCACAGTGAGGGCAAAAATCACAAAATAAGACGGATTTTGCCGAATCATTTTTCAAAAGTTTTTGCAGTGACATTGGCGTCAATTATTGTACGAAATTTATTTTGCCATCATCGCGTTTCTCTCGTCACGACGCATCGAATGAGCGAGTTATCACATCGCGAAACAGGAGTTTGATAACGGGGGCATTCCACGATAGATCGTACCAGGCCCGTCACCCTCATCTCTCAGATTTTAATGAAAATCGGTCCTAGGGGTAATCATAGGCCCCAAAGACGCCTGGCAAAATATCAGACTTCTCAGGTCAAAACTTTTTGAGTTATATTGCATTACATTTTTTTAACTTCGGTTTGTAGCGGTGAGTTTGATGGCCTATAACTCAAGAACGGGTTAAGCAACCAACAAAAAGTAAACAACACTAAGCTTGCGATGAATCAAAAATTAATATTACTATTTAAAAATTCCAGAGAAAAAAAATCATTGTTGAGCAAAAACCTTAATCTTTTTTCATTTGCCTCTAATGACTTTTGGGACCAAAATTTTTCACATTTTTATTTTTTCAAAATAAACTTCATGTCATTGCAAATCGACATGCAAAAAATTAGAAAGGCGTTCTTTCTATAAGTTCCTCATTTTCCCGCAAACAAAAAGGGTTTCGGAGGGGTTGACACGACCCCAGCACGCCGTTTCGCTTCTAATAGAGCTAGAGCCTCGCGGGAAAAACGAGCGTGTGTGCCGTTACAAGTCGCAGCGATTGGTATCCGATTTTAAGGTCTCAGGTTAACCGGTAGCGTCTGAGGTCAGGTCAAGTGACTGAAGTTACGGGTTCGGTTTTTAGTAAATAACTTCGCAAAAAATGGCCGCAGAGCCGCGATTTTGGCATCATTGTGTTCGCCTAGCTCAGGTGCATCGAATGGTATACTTTTTGCTAGGGTGAGGTCAGCTTAAGTAGTTGACCTCGGGTCAAGGTCAGGTCAGAGCCCCTCAGGTCACGAAGCTGGGCAAAGGGTATCATACGGCATATCATTCGATTCGGAAGGTCTTCCCGAGTCCATTGGTGGTTTTCCCGACCCTCTAGCTCCATTTGACCGGGAGTTATTGACGAAAAACTCGTACGACCCTAATGTCGTCATAAATGACGTCACGCAAGATAAACAATGCAAAAGTGAAGCATTGGACTTTGAAAGGAGTGCATGAAATCATGATACCATGTACGTGAGATAGTTTTAGATCATTCTCGGTGCCAAAATAACAGTTTTTATATTTCCCCATTGATTTATAACAGTGATGTCACGTAACCGACCTGACCTCATGTAACCTTAAAAAATTCCCAGATATACAAGTTGTGAGACCTCTGGAGGACACCATGTATGCGTCCTGTAACTTTTATCTCGGACAGCTATGATCATTGGCGTCCAAAACAATGTCAGAACCAAACAGCCTTTTTCACCCTCGCTCTTATAGGAAAGACGGTTGGATGAACCCTCTTTGCACTTTTTTTCAGATGACTCAGACTTCAATTGAAATTTCAGTAACCCGTGATGTCACTAGGCAGCTTTACCACGCCATTTGTAAGCTCCCCTCCCGAAATCACTATTCGAAACCGTTATCGTGACGTAAAATAAATACATTTATAGAAAGAACACCTTCCTAATTTTTTGCATACTTCTTTATAATAAGCCAAATATTTTTTTTTAAGAAATAAAAATTCAAAAAAATTTGGTCCCAAAGTCCAAAAAATACAAATGAAAGAAAACTCGATATGTCATATATCAAAGAAAGCATATTTTTCGAAATTTCAAAAATACATTTTAATCTCTGTTTCATTGCAAGTTCAATGTTATATAACATTTGGCATTTGAATAATCCGTCTTAGAGTTACAGCCCGCCAAACTTAGCGTTGCAAAGCAAGATCCAAAAAATGTTATACACCATAACTCAAAAAATACTTATCTGATAAGCCTGAAATTGTTACAGGTGGATTCAGAGCCCCTGACTACCCCTGAGACCAATTCTCGTCAAATTCCAAGAGATGAGGGTGTCAAATTGGAAAAAAGTGGTACGATCTATCGTGGAATGCCCCAACGGTGTGTTACAAATTCTACAATTTCTCCGAAAACATTTTCACATTGATGGATGAAACATTAAATTTCATTTTTCCCCGATCTTCAAACGTAGCAGCAATGTCTCTCGACAACCTTTTCGTTCCAGGCCCAAAAATGGCCGAATATGACGTCTCAATTTGTATGTCATTAGCGATCGGTCTAGCATCGCCTCTGAAATGATGGTAGTTAGGATGCGTAGAAGATGTAGGATAGGGTAGGTTAGGTAGGGGAGAGTGGGGCAAAGCGGCCACCCGGGGCAAAGCGGCCATCCATCGTTTTAGCCCTCCACAGCTGGCGTCAGTTCCAATTTATGATTTCCAATTATACTTCTCTTTGCGGTCGTTCGAATGAGCCAGACCGGGGTTTCAGGCCCATCGCCATTGTTCTGTGAAACACGGAAAAGCATTTCTTGCCAGGTTACCAATTATGTTTACAATTTTTAAATGTTATTTTATTCCATAACCGTTTGGAACTTTTATAAGTGTTTTTGTCCATGCATTGCGTGGTTATCGTACATGCCTTCTACCAATTTTAATGCTTTTTACCCCACTAATAGCTGAGCTGGAATATTTTTGTCTCGGACGGTATGCGCGGGGCAAAGCGGCCGGGGCAAAGTGGCCAGCCCCCAATTGGCCATAAGTTGTTTCCATCTGGATAAAAACATTATTTATATTCAAATGTGTCGTCATGCATTCATCTTGGCCACTTTTCGGTTACATGAGTTACCAAATTATGCAATTAAATGTTTTTCCAAGAAAATTCTTTCTTTGTTTAGCAATAGGTGGGAAGATAACAAAGTAAACATCCATCTTCCCTCAAACCTTGTCACCATCAAATACCCTAGTCGTGCATGAGGCAACTATTCTGTTTCTCATATCGGGACTTGAGAAGTCGCCAGTGGCCGCTTTGCCTCAGGGATGGGGCAAAGTGGCCAATATGCTATAGGTTTAAAGTTTTGTCAATATCTCCCATATGTGAACGCCTTTGGAAATGAAACGCAGTTGGAATAAAAGACAATTTAATAGGGATCACATTGGTATAGAAAGAATCTTTCCAAGTTTAAAAATCAAGCGTCGGCATCGTTAGAAACGTTAGGGTGGCCGCTTTGCCCCACTCTCCCCTACTCAGCAATACTTTGAAGTTTGACAAACATTGAGAGGAGACGACAGGACTTCCCCTCTCCATGGGCGCGAGTGTAGTGCCCTCACGTGCCCCAACTGATCACTGTGCAGGTTGCCAGCTCATTAAACGAGCACGGCCGAGCCACGTGCCACCAGGTATGCTAAGTGAGGGCCCTCGGTGTCGAGGAGGCCCGCGTCACCAGGGTCGCCCGTCGCTCCCTCAGAGGCGGCGCACGGCGGGCCGCGCTCCTGAGCCCACTGGCCAGCCGTCCAGTTAGCCCGCACATATGTTGGCGAGCTCGCTGTCCCCCGTGCCGGCGGGCCCTGGTCACGTGCAGGGCTCTCGCAGCAGTGTCCCGTCGTCTGACCTACAGCGGTACCCCTTGCCCCGGACACAAGTACAAGCCGAGCGCGCCTCTTGCGGCAGCAGTCGCGCGGCGGCATAATTTGGCGAATTCAGTCGGCGGGCAGCCGATCTTGTCAGACCAGTCAGTCGCCGGTCGCACTGCATCGCGCCCGCCGCCGCCGCTGTCTGCCAGCCCTCTCTCCGACGTCTTTCTGTCAAGCCAAAGTTCGTAGCCTCCGTGTCCGCTGTGGCTGTGCCTCCGGTGATCGGATTAGTGTTAGTGGCCAGCCCAGCTGCCACCATTCCTGACCAGAGCAGGCGAGGAGCGTGTCCGCTCGGTGGAGGCCCCGCCTGTCGCCTCTGCCGCGGTGAGTACCAGGCGCCGGACCTCTGCACCGACTGACCTCCAGGGAGCGCCGCCAGAACGCGGTCACAGGCGGCCGGCCGTCACCGCGCGGCAGCTCGGCCGCCGAGAGGACCGAGAGCTGGGAAAGCTGGGGACGGGGGCAGGGGCGGCAGACACAGTTGCTCCGGTGATGGCGATTTGATGAACATCGGACGGCAAATATTGGAAAGATCAATTCCGACTCAGCTTATTCTTAGCACCAACTAGCCTCGCTCTTTTACTTGCTACATTAGCATCCAGTTGAGGAAATCACATACAGATCTAGCGGCCATAGTTCTCATGCATCCACTGCATTTACTGAATGTCGAGGGCCGTAATTGCACCCGCCCATTCACAGAAAGTACAGCTGGAAAAGTGGCTCCCGGTCCGCGTCTCACGGGCGCTCGCTATAACTGCCCTCTCCCGTTTGCAGATAGCACCATGTCTGTGCCGTTTAGCTTCCACGCAGTCGGCAAGGTTCGCGAGAACCTGGAAAAGGGTGAAGGTTTCACCCGCGGCAATGCCAAGCCGTCGGCACAGCCGCAGGCCGGCTGGTTCCCCGGCCAGAGTGAGTTCTCGAGTGCTTCAGATGTGTTATATAAAACGTTCGGGATTGTATCCCGTTCGTCGTTCAAGGTAACGCAGGTGCTTATTGGAGGTATCCATTCGTTACGACTTACGTGTAAATAATTGCATTTACGAAATGCTGCGCTAGCACGTCTTCAGCTGGCTCTGAGTGAAAGTAACAATCACGTTCGGTTGATCCCCATGCTGTGCTGGGTCCTCCGGTAGTATCTTGACGATGTTTTTCCAGTGGCATGTGAAATGCCGAAATACACCCTACACGTGCATTGATCGCAGCTGATGACCAACCACCCTTCGTCCGTTTGCAGTGGCCGCTGACCTGCTCCAGTCGTACTCGAGCAAGATGATGAAGGCCATCTGGGGCCAGTACAACCGCTACTCGGTGCACAACTTCAAGTCGAACCAGGCCTTGCCGCTGGTGCTGGCCGCTCAGTCCGAGCCGCTGGGCCGGACTGAGCAGGCGGCGGACACTGCGTCCGCCGCCGCCGGTCTCCTGTCCTCCCAGTGAGGACACTCACAGGTGAGAGACGACCTCTCCTGTCCTCCCAGTGAGGACACTCACAGGTGAGAGACGCATCTCACAGGGAGAGACGTCCGCTTCTGTCCTCCCAGTGAGGACACTCACAGGTGAGAGACGACCTCTCCTGTCCTCCCAGTGAGGACACTCACAGGTAAGAGATGACCTCTCCTGTCCTCCCAGTGAGGACACTCACAGGTGAGAGACGCAGCTCACAGATGAGAGACGTCCTCTCCTGTCCTCCCAGTGAGGACACTCAGGTGAGAGACGCAGCTCCTGTCCTCCCAGTGAGGACACTCACAGGTGAGAGACGTCCTCTCCCGTCCTCCCAGTGAGGACACTCACAGGTGAGAGACGTCCTCTCCCGCCCTCCCAGTGAGGACACTCACAGGTGAGAGACGTCCTCTCCCGCCCTCCCAGTGAGGACACTCACAGGTGAGGGTCGTCCTCTCCTGTCCTCCCAGTGAGGGCACTCACAGGTGAGAGACGCATCTCACAGGGGAGAGACGTCCTCTCCTGTCCTCCCAGTGAGGACACTCACACCTGTGAGAGACGTCCTCTCCCGTCCTCTCAAACCACAGCTGAGAAGCGTCCTCTCGTGTCTCCCAAACTCACAGATGAGTAGCATCCTCTCCTGTCCTCCTAGCGAGCAAACTCAAAACTCACAAGCGAGACTCGCTTCCTCCCAGCAAAACCGTTCGATATTGCAAAAACTTCTGTGACTCCAAGCTGCACTGATCGAGGGTAGCACCCGCTGAGTACAGTATCCCCACTCAATGCTACGGGGATACCGTACCCAGAAGCACCGTTCGAGAGTACAGTGTCCCCCTACCTCCCTGCCCCGCCGATCAGGGGCGCGATACGCTCTCCGGCCCTCCCGTCTGCTCTGTGCTGTGATGAATTATACATGTCGCGTCCCAAACCGGTCACCAGGCTCTCCCAGTGCCCAGCGAGCAGACATGGCGCCCGTGAAAACATCGTGTGTGAGGACGTAGTGAATCAGTCTGTAGTACGGTATCACTGACCGGCTGTATGCGTGCGTGTGATTCACAGGAGACAATGAGACAGCATGCAGGCAGTCAGGACCATGTATATCATGGTCCCGACAACAAGCCTGCATTAGAGAATGACGTGAGAAGATCAAATGGTCACTGCAAGAACGGCATCAACGATCGACTGAAACGCTGGTCCGGTAACCGATGCAATAATTTCCAGATAAGAATTTCCGTCCGCACATAGCAATTGTATTCCGCTAGTTAATGACGTTGAAGCTGTGCAATGCTGTGTACGCCTCTGCCTAGAGATGATTCCACATGAATAAGGGAGTCTGTGGATCACAAATAGCTGCCTTCCACTTTTTATAGTAGCCTAGTATAGAAGGTATTGGTTTTGGTGGCCCACGTGGCGACAAACTGCTTGGTGCTGTATCTTTTCAAAGTTGTGACTGTTTCACTGTGTTACTCAGCCTGTTTAGTGCAAAAGTGTAAGAGCATCATGCTCATGTGCTCGCAAAGATAGTGTTTGCTAGGTGCCATGTCGTAACGCGCTAAGATGTGTGTGAGATAACACCGAATATAGTTATAATGAATACAACGGATTCAAACCACCATCCCTTTCATCAATCAACAGTTTGGCGTTAATGAGCACACACAAAATCGGTCCAATGGTCCAAATCTTTGAGGTTGTCAGTTTTCTCCCAAACTACGCCATCTGTGCTGATCGGGTATGTTGGGCTGATAATTTGTCACTGATTTATTTTACCGTCATCAGGTACAAAAACAATGAGTGGGTACTGTGTGAATATCACAAGATATTGAGGTAACCATCCTCGTGCATAATTACCACAGCAATGCATAAATCATACAATCGTGGGAAGAATTATCGTACCGAGACTAACAAGACAAAAGCTGACTGCATCTCACCGTCCACTGAGCGTCACTGGCAGACTACGTCACAGCAACAGATGAGACCGAACGGAACGCGTCCCACCAACGAAATCCGACCATCAAATGACCTATCGGCGCGGAGCACTGGCTAAAACGCACCCATCACCTCCCCAGGCACTGCCTGCCTGTCCACGGCACTGGTGAGCACACACGGCACTTCAGCTTCTCGCACCTACCGAGAGATGGCAGCAGCTACTCGCGCTTCTTGCCCGACTCGGCCCTCTTCTCGCGGATCACGGCATCGTACTTGGACTTGGACGAGTACCACAGCATGAACGGGATGCCGAGCGACGGCAGCGTCATCACGGCAAACACCACCCAGTCCAGCTGTGGGAGGAAAGGGGGCGTCAGCATAGGGGGCAACGTCATCACATGACAGCGTCATCCCGCCATCAGCGTCATCACGGCGAACACCACCCAGTCCAGCTGTGGGCGGCGGGGGGGGGGCGTCATCACAGGGGGAGAGCGTCATCACGACGTCAGCGTCATCCCGTCATCAGCGTCATCACGGGGAGTACCGTCCAGCCCAGAGGCAGCAGCATTAGGGGCAGCGTCAGCACGTGTTCATTTTACATATTTTGTTCATTGTGCGAAATCTGCGCATTTCAGATCCTCTTGGTGACAAATCGTGACAAAATGAAGTAAAAGAAAAGTGAAACAGAAAACCCGGCTTAGCATATTAAATGCAAAGCCAAGAAGAATCTTTTCTCAAAGCATACGATTCTGCCATAGACCCGGGAACAGGGGGGGGCAGCGGGGGCGCTTGCCCCCCCAACTTGGGAGTCGAGGGGGCGGCGCCCCCTCAACTTTGAGGCAGCGAGAAAAGATCTTTTCTCCCTTTTCCGGACTTCTTTCCTTCTTGTTTCCTGTATACATCTACACATCAACACACGGCATTTTCCTTGCCATCTGAATGGTTTCTGCTGATACAGTATCGATTTGACAACATCTGCTATTGTCATCCCGCTTTGATTTGGGCCTGACCTTGGCCATAAATTTGGCAGGCCAGATGGCAGATTGTATACTGCACCAGCTTGAGTCAACTTTTAGAAATACATAACGTACAACGGTGGTAAAATCGTTGCTATGGGTATAACACAGTTTACCCGCTCCGGGTGTGATGGAGGGGTGTGGGGCAATGAGTGCACTGACGTGGCGACCTCGGAGGGCCGGTATGGGATTAAAGCTCAGCGACACTAAGGGCTTGTCAAGTGCCTTCGGTTATCGGTAGCTCCCTCAGAATCACCGGCGTAGGGCCCTCAGAGCCGCCGGTAAGGGGCCTTTAGAGGCACCGGTGTGGGGCCGCCATGCAGGTGCCGGTGTGGGCGCTCAGAGGTGCTAGTGCGATTCTCTCAGAGGCGCCGATGAGGGTCCTTACAGGCGTTGCTGTGGGCCCTCATAGACGCTGGTGTGGAGCCGTTACAGACGGGTGTGGGGCCTTAAGAGCTGCTGTCGCGAACTCTCTACAAGCCGGCAGGGGGTCTCAGTGACCGGCAAGGGGTCCTTAGGCCGGCAGGAGAAGTCCTGTGGGGTCCTTACAGACCGGCATGGTACTGTCAGACGCCGGTGGGGCCCTCAGTCACCGGTGTGGGGCCCTCAAAAGTCACCAGTGGGTGGCCTTTAGATGCACAGGTGTTGGTTGGGTCCTCAGAGCCGCCAATATAGGGCTTTAATAGGCGCTGGTGTAGGCACTCAGAGTTGGTGGTGTGAAACCCTCAGAGACACCGGTGTGGGCCCTCATAGGCGCCGACGAGGGTCCCACAGTTGCCGTTATGGGGCCCTCAGAAAAATAAGTGTGGGACCATCACAGGCGGGAAATACCCCTAGAACAGAGAACTGGCCCCTCATAGGTCGGTAAGACCTCTCAGAGGCCAGTAACGGGCCTTTGGTGACCACCAAGGTGCCCTTAAAGGGACCCTCCCACCTTCAAAAAAGTTAATGAATTGGCATAAAAGTGATGTAGCGTGAATCACAAAGAGCGGAAATGAACATCTACCAAATTTTATCGGAAAATATTCACCCGTTTTCGAGATATAAGACTTTTATTTTTGTTTACTTTTTGGGAACTCCGCTGCTTCTATGACGTCACATAAAGGTTTTCTTTACGTCGGCATTTGGAAGCAATAGTTTGGTATCAAAGTGCGACAAATATTGCGCGATACGTTTATCTTATCAAGGTCAATATATGATGGCCAATAACAGTTGGTGACATACCAGGGAAATAAGCTAAAATTAGAGTGCTCTATTTATTGCTCCTGCCCCATGTTGAAGAGATACCCCTAAAAGCGTGATCTTTTATCGGCCCTTACGCAGCAAGGCAGTACTTCTCAGGCCGGTGGATGGTATCAATAGAAAGAGAATGCGTCAAAGATTAACATGGATTAATTAAAATAACATTGAAATGTTAATTAAGCGTGGAAATTAGTCCCAAACTTAAGCTAATTATTGCTCCTACCTCGGCGACAGCGCTCCCCGCAGTCAGCGGAGAAGCTAAAATAAAAGCCACCATCCTCCTCCGTAAGTCAATTTTAGAGCGGCCGAGTGGGCCGATGCGGGGCCACCAAACTGAGGTGAGACGTGGCTAGCAATTGCGAACTGCCATAGAAATCAATATCTTAAGACGTACAATATGGGATGATTACTCTGAAGCAGGAGTGAAAGCATGAGTAGCTAGCAAGAAACGAAATGCATAGATTGGTTGAATTATGTACAATAGGCACAGCTCATATGAAGCCATTTCTTTGATGTTGACATTTGACATAACCCTTCCTCTCCTCACCTACGACTAAGTACGTTGGCAGTTACCGGCATAGTTTTTTTTTAGCACGAGTGTAATTCGCCATCGGACCGCAATGCATGTTGCTAGGCTGCTGCAATTACAACGAACATACGAATACTGCCTTCATTTGTAGACGTTTGTTTTTTAGGCGGTCTTTGACGTACAAGGGGGCATACCTGTCGACAAATTGAGTTTCTCCGAATTTCAAAAACTCCCAGAATTCCAATTCCTTATGCACTGTTGTAGGTACAGCTATGTTCACAAGTTTTCGTTTCCTCCTGCTCTAAAAAGGATGATATTTGTCGATTTCGTGCGTCGCTGATAGAAGGGTGCGTTTAATAATTAGGCCCAACGCTTTCTGCATCCGCGAGTACCTTGAAAAGGGAACAACAGTTTCCATTTATTACACTATGGGACAAGTGACAAAATGACCACCGCAACACGCATGAAACGGAGCTCATATTCCTAAAAAATGTCTACAATCACTTCTTTTCTGACACTATTAGCAAATACCATCTCAAGTTAGGTGGTTGACAGACAGTCAATGGAGATCTGGGGAGACTGAGTGATGCCAATTCACCACTTAACTGATAATGAGGGCCGAGGGAAGAGAAACATGCAACATGCACAACTGACAACTTGACAAGTGACAAAACACTACCACTATTGCGCAGTGCACAACAAATTTCAGCAGCCAGCCCAAAAATGCTTTTGGTGGCTAATTGCAAAACAAGTCACTAATAAATGTCTTAGTTGCAGCTGAACACTGCACAATGATCACACTGTTCACACATTGAGTGGGATGCCACAGGTGGTTTGAATCACACTTTGGTACAACTGCAAATCTGAAGTGTTGTCATGAGGTTCATGCCTCCATGATCACAGCACTTTGGTTGTGGTTGGCATAACACTTGTAGTCTGCAGAGTTCCACATGAACTGCAGACACCTCATCTGGTGGTCTTCATGTTGCTCAACTTCTTCAGGAGGCAAATGTCGACCACCCAGCGGAAGCATGGTCCTGCAGAAAAGAAAGGTAATGCATAAGGTACAAACATTATCTGCTGAAACAGCCCCTTCTGTTTGCTGTTATTAAACTTTTAACATAACATAACAACATGTATTCCATGTATATTACATTTGTTGAAGTAAAATACTGCCCGCTATTTCAAAACCAGAAAATAAAATTATATTGTGGCATAATTCACATGCTCAGCTATCAGTATAATTAATTTAAAATTTGGCATATTCTATATAACACATTCATAGAATGTTCTACTTCACGTCACAAGGACTCACAATCTTTCTGTTGGGTGTTTGATTGACGCATTAACTAGGTTTGTCTTAGGTTTTATTATTGCAAAAAATTCATATTGCATTATTGTATCAAAATACTGCCAGCAATAACAAAACAAGAACATGAAATGTCAATGAGCAAGCCGCCTTTCCTAAAAATGGATTACTTTGAAAATAATTTTAGTTTCTTTGAAGGAAAAGGAGAAATGATTATCAGGTTATTATCAAAAACCACTCAACCAGCAAGTGGCTGGGTGGTTTCACAGCAAACATCAAGCCAAAACATATGCTTACATTCATCTAACAATTGAGCCATTTGACTACACAAGGATATGTGAGCAGAATAATAATACAATCATCCAATGTTGACTTCCTTGCAAAGTTTATGCCTTATTTTATGAAAATGTGTCACTAGAATATGATACTTATCATCGAATATTATTTAATTTACGATTTATTTCGATCGGAACGCACATGGGGTCCCGCGCCATTTTCGTCGACGATAAATATGATCGTGTTTCATGAAGAGATAAGGGGTTTCAATGGTCTTTCAAAGCAATAATTTGATGCAAAAATTTGTAGGAAATAATATAAAGCTGGTTCAAATGGCCATCAACCATTTAAAACACCGAAAATACTCACAACTCCGTCCCGACGACCACGCAGCACCGCGCACGCCACACTACTGGCACAATGCCAAAACTGCCGTCACAGCAGAAATGTTTTTTTTCTCGATTGCAATTGTGGAATTATTTATTAAACAGAAGATTATCTTTCCGAAAAACCGACTGATTTCATACACAGATGCATGGAAAATAAAAAAATCCCGGTAAGTTTATTTGTATTGTTTTGTCGATTTTGACATGCTCCTAGTTTGCAGCCATATTTCGATATGTTCTACAGGGAGTTCAGAATTATTTCATGACCAATATTTTCCTCATTCATTTTCCCGTCGATCATGAAATTTTTAGAGCGGAACAATTAGTTTCCAGGCGGTCCGAGCGGTTTTCGTGAGAAGGGTGCAAAAATCGGCGTCATTTTTAGAGCCTCGACACCAGCTCAACACAGGACCCTATGGGAGACGGTGAAGCAGCGGGAGCAATTAATAGAGCGCTCTAATTTTAGCTTATTTCCCTGGTGTGTCACCGACTGATAAAGGATTCCAGGATAATTCTTCTTATGGCATTTCTTCGTATCGCAATTCTTCGTCTGCAAATCTTCGTCAGGGCATTTATTCGTATCGCATTACTCTGT